GTCTTAGGCTTCTATCCTCAGAGGCAGAAGTGGGTTTAAGTGCCCATCTCTCTGTCAGCTCTATTATATGGAAATTTGCCAAAAAAGAGGGAGCTGATGGCTTTGCCAGCCAGGGCCATTGTGGGGCAACCCTGGTAGAAGAGATGGACTGTTTATGTAGCAGTCTAGTGATCTCCTGTTGGCCATCCTTGGTTCTGTCATTTGCCCCTCAGATGCCAGGTTTGAGCCTCTGTCCTGGCCACCTTCCTGTGGCGGATGCATTCTCTGTGCTTACTGGTTCCATTTGAAGTTCTGTGATAAGTATGGTGGGACTGCTCTCCGGTTGGGGGCTTCTGCTGAGCTTGTGATCGCTTTGAAGTGCTAACAGGCCAGGCCTTTTTATCTTTTGCTTATTCAAGATAGTTTCCCCCAGCTGTGAGTTCACAGCTCTAAAGAGAGATGAGTGGGTGCTTTGTATAAGACGCTGTTTACCCTAGTGTGTTGCCTTAGCCCGTCAGTCTGCTCTGAAGTACTTGGCAAAACTGGGCTGACCCTCCCTGTTCAGGGTCCCTGAGGCTTAAGCAAGTTGACATTCAGATTCTCAGACTTAAAATATTATGTTGGGGATAGGTTTCCCATTGCAGAAATTTTTTCAAGCCAGTTTTGCTAAACTGAATCCCTTCTGTCTGTATACAGAATTGATTGTCCTTGAAGAGACTGATTACACCTGTTTTTAGGAGCCGAGTCTTAAAGGTTTAGTCCATCTGGGCATTGATTTAGGGCTTGGTGTACTTTTCTTTACGTAGAATTTGAGGATGTTGGGTTGGATAGTCTCAGAGATGAATTTCAGGTACCAGAGAGAGGGAGAGAGTTAAACTTACCACTCATTGGAAATGTAGAACTGTTTAGAAATCAGATCACTTGCCTTGTAGAAACCTTGCAGCACAGACAGGGCGGACCCTCAGTGTGTAAAGCTAGTCCCACACTAGCCACTGTCACCAAAGATCCAGGGATGGTTTTTACACTTCACGCCAATTCTTCAGTGGCTGAGGTGGAAGCCATTATAGAACCACTTTGGGGACTTCTTCCAATGGCATACACCCTCCCTGGAGATTTCGACATTGCTTATGGCTCTCCCTTCCCCATTTAAGCTTGACTCAAACATTAGAGTCCCATGGGACTAAAGAAGTCTCAATTAGCTGTTTAAAGTGACTTATCTTTCTCATTGCATTGTCTGTCTACAGGTAAATAGTGAATATTTTGAGGAAAGAAAACAAGGGTGCTCAATTCAAGCATTCTCATTCTTACTGGGTGATTCTTGCAGCAACTGGATGTTTTATGGGGGACCACAAGGATAAGGCAGGGAAGTTTGAAAGAGGAGACTCCGGGTAGCAAGGGCCTATTTAATGCAAGTATCTCAGGCTTCCTGCTTCCAGATGCCTCCGTTGACGCCTTCAGAGCACATCTGTGCCAGGCACCGTGCAGGGGGCAGACAACAGTCAACAGACCTTGTCACAGCATTTCTAGTCTGTCAGTCCTCAGACTGCATCTCCCTCCTTTTATCCTGAGTTGGGGCCTAAATGTCACTGCACAAGAGCCATGAATTAAGGGACAGCACATGGAAAAGAATTCTCTTTTCATAGTAGCCAGTCAGAGGAGTTTTTTCCTGTAGAACAACCCCAGACCATGTCCCTTCCTAAACCATAACAAACATTCCCCCTTTTATAGGTAGCTTTGGTACTGACTTAGCTTCACTTTTCTCAAGGCTTATAAAAGTTTGGGGAATCCGTGATGCTCAGTGAGGCAAACATTTTTTCCATGCCCTCGTGAGTATCAGCCTCCCAAGATGCCCGAAAGCATTCCCCCCCTCTTCTCCCAGGCTTGCCTGAGCCCCTTCCTGCCTTGCCTGCCTGAGGATTGCTGCTCTGAGGCCCCTCTATCTGGGGGGGAGGCGGGGGTGAAGAACAAGCAGGTGGAGAGCCATCTGTTTGTTGTATGAGATTTTCCATTTATCCTGGGTCTGTAATCATGACAGAGCAGTGCTGTCACAGACCAGCACTTTTGGGGCGAGCTGCAAAGGAGCCAAAGCCTGATATTCAGGCTTTTGTTGTCTTAGTGATGCCTTGACAGGAGTCATTAAACCTTTATTTTCTTCCAGCAGAAGCAAAACACAGTTGAAATTGATTAGGTTTAGTCGTTGTGTAAACTAAAAGGATTATGGGTTTACAAGCTGGCCTACCTTTCCTTTCCCTCATACTTATTTTGCCCATAAACAACTCTGTTTTCGTACTGACTCACTGCGAGTTACAATCTTGCTGTTATTTTTGCTTTCTTTAAATTTCCACAGGACACTTCTATATAAAAACCAAAATGGTAAAGAAGAAAGGGTATGTGTGAGTTTAAAAATAAAAAATCACTAGCATTTCCCTTCAAATAAATATGTGAGTTTGTTAATAACCAGGCATGATTGTCCTTAAAAAAATGTCCCTTCCACGCCTGTGTCCCAAACTGACCTGGCAAAGGACAGGGTAAGGCTCCTTGAGGGAGGTTCCCTGCCCACCCACAGTGGACGAGGTGGGCAGCCTGGGACAACAGAATCTAAGGCCAGCCTGTCCTCTGTGGTGTAAACTCCTCCACTCAGCATTCTGCTCTTTCCTTTTTGTTTCAGAGCCCTGCCATTCTGATACATTCCTGATGTGAGTGAGAGTTAAGAATTAAGTGCTGGCTTCCGGGCCTCACCTTGTTAAAGCAGTCAAGTCTGGCATGGACTGAACAGGCAGACAGTCTGTCAGGGACACAGTAATCCAGAGCCAGACCCTAATCGCAGTTCTTTCCACCAGACCACTTGCCTCCAGCTGCTTTTTTCTCTAAGGTGGGAATTTTGAAGTGGCCATATGGGTTCCTAAGATACTGGAAATTGATCCCACCCAGCCAGTGTGGGGAAGCAGTAATTGGATAATCCAAGAAAAAACTGACTTTGGGACCTAGCTTGTCTGGTACACCCAGTGATAGTTACTGAGCCTGGCAGGAGGGTGACATGGCTCACACCAGCTGGGAAGTATTAATATGCAGTGAAAAGAGCCAGGCAGCTTTGGTTGGGAGTTCTGCCCGTTGCCTCTTACTGCTGAATTAGTTGCTTCATCTGTAGGCTTCCATGACCTCATCTGTAAAGTGAGGTGAGAACACTTAATATGTCCTAGGTTGCTGGGGTTGAGAATTGAACCAACATAGTGACTGTAAACGGGCTTAGCCCATAAGTAGGTTCTTAAGAAATGCTTGTTGTGGCTGAGGTAAGGCAAAGGGAGAATCCCCGTGGAGCAGACCAGCAGGAAACAGTGCCTGCTGGAGTCTCCAGCGCTGGAACCCTTGCTGGGTTAGGATAGAGCCATGGGAACAGCTTTCCCAGAGAAGTTGTGCCTCTATTGTGGATTTGAGATGTTTCTGCTTCTCAATGTTCTCTCTTTTTTCCTGCCTGCTTGCCTGCCTTTTGGATCTCTTGCTGTCTAGGGTGGCAGATGAAGCTTTCTACAAACAACCCTTCGCTGACGTGATTGGTTATGTGTATGTTGCAAAACTAATTCCTTTTCCTTTTTTTATTCTACTTTTCATTTAGAGTTAATGCACCTTTTATGCCACAAGTTGCTTTGCTTTTCAAATTATTTCAAACTGGCACTTCGGGGGCTAATAGGTGATAAGCTGGGGTATGATCCAATGATTGTCTTGCAGAATCATGACTTCCTACAACTCTGATCGCCATTTTTCATATTCGGGGTTTTGGACAGAAGGAAGCTGACTCCCTTTCAAAATGTGGGTCATTTGTGATCTTGTCTGGGAAGGCTTTGGGACTGGAGGGCTCTGACCTCTTGCTGCCACCACTACGCCCCTGCCAGAGGTAGATGAGGAGAGGTAGATGTCCTGGTTAGGAACCAGTTGGGGCACATTTTCTACACGTGGTTTCTTCAAAGAATGTGGAGTTGGTTGCCTCTCCCTTGGGCAGAGGGGGTTGTCTCTGATGGGGGCCTGTAATGGTTTCTCTATGGTCTTCTATGTCAAATGATTTTAGTTGCCAACTTGTGATGCCCGGTTCCCTCACCCTTGCTCAGAGAGGCCCCAGCTTCAAGGTCAAGGTAGCCAAAGCTGGCTGATATAGCCACTGTGGCTTTTCTCCCCAAAGAAAATTGCATCTTCTCTGGAAGTTTTTTTTTTTTTTTTTAAGGGGTTCATGTTATCTAAGCAGTCTTGTTGAAGACTTGGAAACTGTCCTTGCTGTTTCCTCTTTAAATGTTAGGACTAGATTTTGAAGAAACATGAAAGTGAAATGGAGGAAGAGAGGAGTTTGTTGGGAGGGTGGACAACAGGCTGAGCGGCCTAGAGCCTTGAGATGTTCATCCTGGTAGAAGACAAAACTGGGTTCCTGGGCCCCCAGATGTATTTGCAACGAGACTTGTGAAATGCTGGACTTACAGGTGGTGTTGGATTTGATTTTTGCACATTCTCTCTGGAGTAGAAATGGAGACTAGAAAGGTTGAATCTGGGTTTGCTGGGCAGCAGGGTGGCCCAGCAAAGCCAGCTGCACGTTCCCAATCATAGAGTGGCAAGGGCATGTCTAGCTTACTGACCATCTGCATTGAGCTCATTCTCATTTTCTGTATCTGACCTAAAGTTTCTCTCCTTGTTTCTTTTCTTCTCTTCACCTTTAAGCACAAACATAAGCCATCCTTGCTACAGCCTAGAACAGTTAAGTAAATCTTTCTCACTGCCCCTAACTGTGTGTGCTCTGCAGTTGCAGTCTTGTAGTGGCTCTGGCTTCAGCAGTGTTTGCCACGGCCATCCCTGTGAGTGCAACCCTTTGTCCCACAGACCAGTCATCTCCATTGCTTTTGCTTTGCCCGTGATGCTTGTTGAAGTAGATGAATATAGTGTCTTCCCCCTTAACCACTGTCCTTTTGAGCTATAGCTCCCACCAGCAGGTTCCCAAGTGGGGGTGGGCTGACCTTGACTGAAAGAATGTTAGAGCAGCATCCTACCAAAAAGCACCTAACATTGATGGGCTCTCCAGCCCCTGGGTGCCCACCCCTGCCACGTGTGCCCTCGGTGTGGCCCAAGGTACCTGGCTGGAGGGAAAATGGCTGAACTGGAGAATGTCCTAAAAACCCCTTCCAGAATGGCTCTAGTCTCTAATGCCTGCTAGCATGGGAGCTTGTTTTGAATTCCCTCTGATCTACCCTGTTTCTCTCCAGCCTTAGGAATAAATCCAGAAGCTGTAGCGCAATGAGTTGTGGGCTTTTTAGAAGTCTAAATTTACTTGAAACTTAGCACAGCCCAACATAAAGTCCTGTTCAAGTTCTTGACAAGCCTGCTGCTTTGTTTTTGTTAAAGGCGGCATTGTGTAGCTGGCTAAGGACTTGCTTTTTTTCTGTATCAGCAGAGACAGACACAGAGAGAGGAGCCCTGAAACCAAACACCTGTATTCCAACATTTTACACAGCAGTCCAGGCACCCTGTGCCTAGGAGAGCTGGCCACATGTCTGCTCTCAACTCTGACCTGGGCCAAGGGCTGTGATTCCTTAGAAAACCAGAATGCCATTAAGTCAGGCATGAAGATGCAGTCGCTTCTAGAACAAGGCAGCCACCAGGTAGCTCACAAGGTTCTACATTAAACCAACATATTTTGTTGTTGATTCCAGGGCAGCAGAAGAAGCCTTTGTAAATGACATTGACGAGTCATCCCCAGGCACTGAGTGGGAACGGGTGGCCCGGCTGTGTGACTTTAACCCTAAGTCCAGCAAGCAGGCCAAAGACGTCTCCCGCATGCGCTCTGTCCTCATCTCCCTCAAGCAGGCCCCCCTGGTGCACTGAAGAGCCACGCTGTGAAACACTACATCTGCAATATCTTAATCCTACTCAGTGAAGCTCTTCACCTAATTGGATTAATCATGTTGAGTTCTTTTGGACCAAACCTTTTGTCTTTAGAGTTACTCATTGTTTGTGATTGCATGTTTCTTCCTTCAACTGTGTTCTCCCGGGCAGAGAGGAGGGGGAGGTGGCAGCAGGGGAGGGAAGCCTCCCACGGTAGCCTCAACCTGTGCTTTTTGTGCATTATTCTGAGAATAAATTTGTTTTGAACAATAAACATGTAGCTTCATTATTGATCTCAAGATGTGCTGCAGTTTGGAGTGAGGTTCAAAGGAATGAGGAATTTACTTTTGTCATTTCTAAGGCCAAGGCAGCAGTCATTGGGCCTCCACCCCTGCTTTCAACTAAAATAGCTCCAAGTTTCTATTGTCTTTGAAGTTTCCATTTGGAAAGGGAGTTCCCGGGCTAAAAGTTAACCCCTCACCAACCTATATATTTTCTCCCAGATGGCTCTTGTCCGTCCCTTACTTTAGGGTCTTGGGTGGTATATTTCAGTGGCGGCGTCTCTGGGGGTACATAGACTATAGTGAGATCTTACGCCTTTGGATCCAGCCAGTAAACCTGAGTCAGGGTGGCATTAGTGTGTGACTAGCCCCATTACTCTGGATCCCCGTAGCACCTTGCTCATATTCATATCTCTGGTCTCAAATATTTATCTAATTGCTGGCTAATACAGTAGACACATGTGGCTATTTAAATTAGAGTTAATTAAAATTAAAAACACATTCTAGTCCTAGTATATTTCATATGCTCAGGGGCACATGTGGTTAGGTATTATCCGTATGGTACAACACATATTATAGAGTATTTCCAGCACAGAAAGTTCTAGACCACACTGCTCAATACAACAGATGCCTCTAGGAGGCTGTGTTCTATTCAAGCATCAACACATTTGTTATGTGCCCTCAGAATCCGTCACATTTTAGGTCAGGGGTGGGGAACGTCCAGCCTGCATGCTGTATAAGGCCCTAGAAGTCATTTGGTCTGGCCCTGCCAAGGCATTAGGGGTGAGTTAATTAAATGTTTGATCAAATATAGCAGGCTTTTTTTTTTTTCAATGTATATATTTTTTATTTTAGAGCGAGAGAAAGGGCGAGGGAAGAGAGAGAAACGCTGATGGGCTGCCTCGTGCACTCCCCCTACTGGGGATCAGGCTTGCAGTCTGGGCACATGCCCTGACTGGGAATGGAACCCATGACCTCTTGGTGCTGGGGCAACGCTCAACCGACTGAGCCACAGCAGCCGATAATTCTGTGTGGCCCGTGAATGATGTTATAAATATCTAAATGACTCTTGGCAGAAAAAAGGTTCCCCACCCCTGTTTTAGGTGATGGTTCACGTAACAAAGCCACATTACCGAAATCTGCTTATTTACCTGATATTATTTTCAAGTTGGAAATTGACATAAACTCCTGTTAATACCACACTCTGGAGGGGGTAGTCTTGCCATTGCCAAGAAGGAAAGTCCACCAACACTCGTACTGTAGTTAAGTCTGAAGGGGAGAGGAACCGCCATTATTTTTCTGCCTACCTGCCCCTTTCCAAGCTTCTTAGTTGGGCATTCTTGATCTTGCCCACCTGGCCTCTGTACTCATTTCTTCCCATTAGCTACCCTGGATTGCAATCGAGCACTCACTCACTGTTGTTCACCAACCATTTGTTACTTCTGGGCCTTGTTAATGCCATTCAACATGTCAAAATCCCGTTTAAGAATTAGCTTAAAGGACACCTCTACAATGCCTTCCCTTACTCCTTCCCCTGAGCTCCCATGGCCCTCTATGCCCACAGCTTACCTTTTGGTGTTATTCTGGTGGTGCCATCTGGACTGGTCTTGCCTTCCATACCAAATGGGCTTCTTAAGGTGAATGTGACAGTTGTAAAATGTCAGTAAAGTCTCTGACATCCTTCAGATCAAGAGGTGACTGGATAATATGACAAAAGTAATGCCATGTGACTTCCAAGGTTTGGGCATAACAGGCAGTGCAGCTTGCCTGCTGATTTGTTGGAACACACAAGCTCTGGTAGTCCATGAGCATCACCCTGAGGCTGACATGCTGTGAGGAAGCCCAATCCAACCTACATGGAGAGGCCCTGAAACTACAAGCAGAGAGAGGTGCTTGGCCAGTCGCTAGTATTCCAGCCTCCTGCTATTCCAGCTCCAGGTACTAACTGGAAGTGCATCAGACACCCTGCATTAGAAGAGCCTTTCCCAGATTCCTGACCCATAGAAACCATGACAGAGCGGTTATTGTTTAAGCCTCTTAAGTTTTGAGGTGGCTAGTGACACAGCAATCAGTAGTAAGTTGGGATTGCTTCTAAAGCCTACATTACCCACTTAGGGCTACATAAAAAGGAGAAAGTTGTTCCCATGGTCTCATCAAGTGCTCAACATTTAGTTTCAAACTGCTTTCTTGGGGCCACTTTGCTTTTTATGTCAAATTTTAAATGTTATTCAACATAGTACTGAAAAGTCATAGCCAGAACAATTAGGTAAAAAAAAGAAAAGGCATCATCCAAATTGGAAAGGAAAAACTAAATCTGTCACTATTTGTAAATGACATGATATATATAGAAAACCCTAAAGCAGCGGTTCTCAACCTGTGGGTCGCAATCCCTTTGGGGTTGCCTAAATACATCCTGCATATCAGATATTTACATTACAATTCATAACAGTAGCAACATTACAGTTATGAAATAGCAACGAAAATAATTTTATGGTTGGGGGTCACCACAACATGAGGAACTGTATTAAAGGGTCGCAGCATTAGGAAGGTTGAGAACCTCTGCCCTAAAGAGTCCACCAAAAAATTGTTAGAATAAATGAATTCAGTAAAATTGTAGGATACAAAATCAATACATAGAAAGTTGTTTCTGTATACTAATAAGTTATCAGAGAAGTTAAGAAAACAATCCCATTTACAACAATATTAAAAAGAAAATACCTAGGCATTTAATCAAGGAAGTAAAAGATCTGTACATTGAAAATTATCAGACACTGGTGAAAGAAATTAAAGAAGACACAAATAAATGGAAACATTTTTTGTTAGTCCTCACCAGAGGATATTTTTTCCATTGATTTTTATAGAGAGTGGAAAGGGGGAGAGAAACACTGATGGGATAGAGACATCGGTTGATTGCCAAGTGTACACGCCTGACTGGTGCCAGGAATCAAACCTGAGATCCTTCGGTCTATAGGCTAACGTTCTAAACATTGAGCAAAACCAGCTAGGGAGGAAAGATATTCTGTGCTCTTGGGTTGGAAGACTTAACATTATCATACCCATACTACCCAATGCATTCTACAGATTGAGTGCAATCCCTATCAAAATTCCACTGGCATTTTTCACAGAAATAGAACAACCCTAAAATTTACATGGAACTACAAAAGATCCTGAATAGCCAAAGCGATCTTGAGAAAGAACAAAGCTGGAGACATCAAGCTCCCTGATTTCCAACTATATTACAAAGCTGTTGTAATTAAAACAGTATGGTACTGGCATAAAAACAGACACATATATCAATGGAACAGAATAGAAAGCCCAGAAATAAACCCACACATGTATACTCAATTAACTTATATCAAAGGAGCCAACAATCATATCTAATAAAGGGAATATACAAATTGACCATCACGGCCAGACCCGCCTTCAGCTGCCCAGGGCGGGCCCGAGGCACAGACAAGCCTCAGATGGCAGCTCCCCAGCCGCCCGGGGCCACCCGAGGCTCAGGTCCTCAGCCCTGCCGGAGTCCCCCAGTCCTTTCAGCGCTGCTTGGGGGGTGACGGCAGGCATGTTGTGCGGCCAGACCCGCCTTCAGCTGCCCAGGGCGGGCCCGAGGCACAGACAAGCCTCAGATGGCAGCTCCCCAGCCGCCCGGGGCCACCCGAGGCTCAGGTCACCAGGGCCGGCCAAGGCTTGCACTGCCAGCAGTGGTGTGATGGGGGCGTTGCCTTCCCCTGATGGAAAGGTTGCCTCCCACCCCTGAGGACTCCTGGACTGTGAGAGGGGGCAGGCCGGGCTGAGGGACAAATTTTCATGCACTGGGTCTCTAGTATACAATAAAGGACAGTCTCTTTCATAAATTGTATTGACAAGGAAACTGGACCACTATCTTATACCATACACCACAATAATTAACTCTCAATGGATTAATGACTTGAATGTAAGACCTGAAACCACAGAACTCCACAGGAAACATACACAGTTAAGCTCCTTGACATCTGTCTTGGTGAGTGATGATTTTTTTTTTGTATTTGACACCAAAAGCAGCGGTCACAAAAGCAAAACTAAATATGTGGGACCACATCAAATTGAAAAGCTTCCACACAGCAAAGAAAACCATTAACAAAATAAAAAGGCATCCTACTGAGTGAAAATATTTACAAATCATATATCATACAGTGTTAATATCCAAAACTGAGTTTAAAGAACTCATAGAACTCAATAGCAAAGAAAGGCAATCTGATTAAAAAATGAGAAGAGGGCCCTAACCAGTTTGGCTCAGTGGATAGAGCGTCAGCCTATGGCCTCAATAATCCCAGGTTCGGTTCCGGTCAAGGGCAGGTACCTTGGTTGCGGGCACATCCCCAGTAGGGAGTGTGCAGGAGGCAGCTGATCAATGTTTCTCTCTCATCGATGTTTCTAACTCTCTATCCCTCTCCCTTCCTCTCTGTAAAAAATCAATAAAATATATTTAAAAAGAAAAAATGAGAAGAGGATCTGAATAAATATTTTTCCAAAGAAGACATACAGATGGCCAACAGGTACATGAAAAGATGCTCAACATCACTAACCATCAGGGAAATACAAATCAAAACCACAATGAGATACCATCTTACACCTATTAGAATGGCAATTATCAAAAAGACAAATACTACCGTGTTTGCCGGCGTATAAGACGATTTGTTGGCCCTGAAATATATGCCTCCAAGTGGGGGGTCGTCTTATACGCCAGGTACACTTCAGATAGACTGCCCATAGTGCTTGACCCGTGCCATAGTGGCCTCCCGATGCCCGCCCACTTCATTCCACATACCGTTCAGGC